AACAAAATAGTTTCTCATTTAACAGTTACTGCACATGTTGCCCTATGACAATGGTTAACAATCTCACAACACATCAACAATATCCTTACTAAACTTTGGGTTCCCTATCACCAGCTTCCTTGTCCCCTTCTGCCTTCTGGCCCTTGTCACTGGGCTACTGTACCTCATTAGTCCCATTTGGGTAAAGCAAACGTTTTTAAGTGTTATATTTAAATGCTTAAGTGAGCTCAACTTGCATATAGTATATTGGATTGATGTGTAATATTTAAAATTAGGTATAATTTTAAGTTGATTACATTGTTTTGATTATAATTTGTAATAATTTGTGTTTTTGGTAAAAGTTTACACAGCAAATTAGGTTCCCATTTGACATTTTCTACACAAGTTGTTCAGTGACATTAGTAACATTTTTCACAATGTGTCAGCGTTCTCATTAATTGCGTTCTGGTTGGTCTGATTTTGATTGTAATTTAAACAATTTTATGCTTTTAGATCTCATCAGAGGTGTATCTTTTTAGCCACATTAAAGGGAAAAAACACCAGCAAGCTGTGAGAGAGAATAGCAGCATCCAAGGGCGAGAACTTTCAGACGAAGAAGTGGTAAGCTTTACTTTTGCTCCTTTATAGGTATTTATTGAGTCCTAGTACATGCAGAGCTCTTTTAATTTAAAAAATTCCCTGTTTTTATATATTTATGTGATCACTTTAAAACTAAATTTAGTATTTAATAACTACCACAATGTAATACACAAATGTGTCTTATTTTTGTACAGTCATGCACTGCATAATGTCCATTCAGGCAGCGTCCAACCACGTATAAGTCCGTGGTCTCATAAGGTTATAATAGAGTTCAGAAATCCCGATCAGCAAACGGGACATAGCAGACATTACCAGACGTAGCAAATGCAGCAGCTTCGCACACAGCCCATGCGTATCTCATATCCCTTGTATGCAAAGCAGTTGCACTGCCAGGTGTATAATGGTACAGTACGTATATAACCTGTAATACATATGTCTTGATAGTCATAATAAATGCCTATATTGCTGCTTTATGTACGTACTGTACTGCACTTTCTATCGTTATTTTAATGTGAACTTACCGTAGTTACAAATGAAAAGTTTACCTTATAATAGTGTATGCTTCGACTTGTAGGCAGTAGCATCCAATCTCGTGTATTGCATGTATCTTGAGTGTTGTAGCTTTATCTTTCTGTTTAATTTTCTTTCAAAAATATTACCATGAAGTGCATCATGGCTTCCAAACACAGCAAAACCAGTGCTAGTGATAGCAGCAGCAAGAGGCAAAGGAGGAGTATCGATTTGGAAGTGAAACAAAAGGTTATACAACACAAAGGTGAAAAATCAGCTGAATACGATTGCTCGCGATTTAGACGTGTTTGTGCAACGTCCAAATCACATAAAGCAGAACGTAGTGTGGACTTTAAGTGATGCCTGACTGTGTATGTATTAGTGAATAAGAAATATAGAAACAAGAACTTATACTATTATTTATATAATTTCAATGCAAAAAAGAAGAGTTATGCTATTTTGGTGTTTTAATAACATGAGGAATGAATTATTCAGTGATGCTCCAGATTTCTTGGAAGACATTTAGCAATGTAAATTTCATATAATGGATCATTTTCTATCAGTAAACCATTTGGAAATTTTTGGAAATGCATTATTTGTTCATTTGTAGTTTGTTTACATGAAGTCAGACTTGTATAAATATTTTTCTTCTTTTTGCAATGGGCTCAAGCATAGCAGTAACTGTGAGGATGGTGCAGGATGGGACTTCAGCCCCTTCTTTGTGAATTTCTGGCGAGATGCTGATACTCAGTCACATGTATGCTGTTTTTTTAAATTTTTTTTTCATTGTAATTTAGGTGAAGATTTATAGAGTAAATATTTTCTCATTAAACAGTCAGTACACATATTGTTTTATGACATTGGTTAACAACCCCATGACATGTCAGCATGCTCCCTTCTTGGCCTTGGAGGACGTTTTCTTTTTTGGTGAAAAAAAACATAGCCAAAGATACAC